TACATGTATTGGTAGCAGTGGTTTCACTCCTTACACCGTTCATCATTAGTTCAAGGCCTTCACTGGAGCATTTTTAGCATTAGACTTCACACAAAGGAACTCCTCCAGTCTGCAACCACGAAGGACAGCTCAGGAATCCTGACAAGTGATTTCTACACAACTCCTGTAATGCCTTTGAGGAGAAGGTAAGCACCCAGCTAGAATATTAGATGGCTTTATGATTTCTATTTCAGAAAAGATATCACATTATCAAACTTAGACACCTATCCTCAAATCTGTCCCCTGATACTCTGAAAATACTGTTTGGCAACACGTCCCTCACTGGAAGTATTTAAAAGGCATTGCTTCAGTTGCTGGTTCACAAACATTTTCAAGAGATGAAAATGAATACTGTAAAAATAAATTCCTAGAGTGTTTATTTAAAACAGACAAATGTTCGTTTTCCTCCATCTACAGTTCCAAAGTAAGACACACCTTAACACCACCTCACTCTTACAGGCAGAGGAAACTGTGGAGTCTTTGAGCCATGACATCCCTAAAAGTTGTGTTGGAGTAATTGCAGTCTGTGTGCCACTCAATATCTGACAGGGTTTTTTCTCCGGGGTGGTGGGAATCAGCACAGCTCCTAGAAACAGTTTCAGTGGCAGTTATTCCCAATCTTATTTAGCATGACATTACTGCCTGGAGCCAACACAATGATAATAGAAGTTTCCACGACACAACATAGTCTCATTCCTTCTTCTACTGATAAGAAAACACTGAGAAGAATCTAATGCCTTCAATACTTTTGCTCCTTTCTATACATGTATACACAGGCAAATATAAATGCATAAATTATACCAACACCATCAATAAAAGTTATGTGCATAACCTGGGTAGAACTATCAGTCAGGAACAGCCACACAGAGTAATTCAAGGGTGAAATCCTGACCAAGACCTGATGGAAGGTATTTAAGGCATGGCTGAACAACACATGTTTTTTCACTGCACTGAAGAAAGTACACTGTAGACAGCTAAACTCCTTAAAAATCCAGGATGCCAAAGTGATTAATGGATTTCCTGCAGGTGACTCATTAGTGCTTTCATTTTAGAGAATTAAAAAAAACCAGAAACATCTTGTAAACACAGGCAGACATCCTTCAAACTCAGGTCAACCTCAGCCTTTGCTCACGGCAAATATTTAACAAGATTTTTTACCTTTTTTTTTTTTTATTCAAGCTGTTATCTCCATGATTCAAAGAGGTCCTAAATACAGCTTTTAAGATTAGCAAATTTCTAAACATGCCTTTATAGTTGAGGGAGGAGAGTATTCTAAAGCTTAGCACCAGCTCTTTAGACTCAGACCTACCATATAAAGCAATATTTTGCAAGGTTTACCCGTATTATCCATTTCAATCCATGAACATAAAACAATTAATTCAGAGCAGCCTCCGTGGGATAGAATAAAACCAAGGCCTCCAACAACAAGCAGAGGCACATAGTTAGATTACAGCCTTTTGACAGATTATTAAACATGTCAGGGAACACAAGTTATGACTTTGTTTGTTTTTTTTAACATGGCAATGACTCATCACACAGAAATCCATTTGCTCATTTCCGGACAGTGGCCTCGATTACAAATGTAATAAAACCGTAAAATTGAGGATGTGCAGCTTTGTCTCAATACAAGAAAGAACTATTGATCCAAGAGATACTTCCTGTAAGAGAACTGCTTCTTTCTTGGTTTTACATTTAACATACTAAGGTATTTTATCTCCTAAAGTCTGTTGTCAAGAAGATGATCCGCAGACAGGGTTGGAAAAACTAAACTACAAACAGGTTGGAATGAGAAAGAGTGACTAACAATCAAGAGTTTCAAGCAGACCAAGAGACTGCAATATCACATTACCTCTGGTTAATCTGCAGGTCACACACAAGAGGGATCACATGTGAACTGGCTGAAAATGGAGAGGCAGGCTAAGGGCAAAATGCTGCTGAGCAGCACAGACAAACTGCTGGGCACTGGCAAAGCCTCCGGGAAGTTAATGGACACCAAGAAAAAATAAACAAACACAGCAATGGCTGCATGAAAACAAGGGATTGATGCTGTTAAAGTATTGGAACACCAGTCTCCAGAACTGCAGCTCATTAGTTTGTGCCTTTATTAGTCTGGGTCAAGTAAGAGCTTTTATGCCTATGCAGATAACTACAGCTATCACAAATCTAAACCTGAGGGGCTGGGGGGTTTTGCACCCTGTGAGAGCATGTATTTCATTGACCAGCAGTGCTTTTTGCTAGCTTAACATCAAGGATTTTATAAGATCACTTAGCAATCAAAGTACTGCTGGGTTAGTGGAGCTGATGGACTGGAATTAGTCATGCTAACTTGACACACATTGTAATTTTGTCTAAGAGACACAAACAAACAGATTGTATTGACAAGACGCAACTCAAGGATGAAAACATAACACGAGAAAGTGCAGTATGAAAAACAGTTCTTTGGGGAAACACAGACAACAATGGCATTTGACGTTTACCTATAAATTTGCCCAGCCTCTTTAAAAAAGCTCACAAAGTACTGTACTCAGACAACCAACCTGGCCACATGCACACTCTGGTATAGCACAGAACCCAATTTTAGAAAGCTGTGGGTAACATCTGTGCAACCTGCCACACGTTTGGTGAAACCCACAGCTATTTAGAGCACCTTTAACACAGAAGCAGGGGCAGTGTGATCCTTTACATCAAAGTTACGTATGAGAATCACAGAGTCATACAGTGGTTGGGGTTGGAAGGGACCTTAGAGATCATCTTGTTCCAGCCCCATGCCATGGGCAGGAAGCCCATATTACTCAAAGCAAGACAGTTTCTAAGGGTGGTATTTCATTTTATAGACACCTTTACTGACCGACCTCCCGGGCAGGACAGGATAACCACCACTGTTTCAAAATTCCCATTAACACAACTCCATCTCAATTTTTATTCACCTTCCCTTCAGCCTGATACCAATACGGTGAGTGGGCAACACATAGCATTGTAATTGTCATCGCACAGGCACCAAAAAATTCAGAAGCACTTCAGCAATCACAGACTGGCAGGGGTTGGAACGGACCTTAACGATCAGCCAGTCCCAACCCAGCGGAGCCACCTGTTCGGCTTCTCCTGGTAGAGGCGACCAGGGGGCACATTGGCTCACAGACGCAATTCCCACCCGCCAGGAGCATCCCTTATGTAAGGCTGTCACCACCCCAAACACGGCCCTTCGCGCCCCACGATGCTCCCCCGGGGCGGGGGGGGACCACACACCTCCCGACACCGGCAACTATCGGGGTCACACCCGCCGCGGAGCCGGGCAGGGGCAGCGCCGCTTCGTTCTGGGGAGAAACCAACACATGGAGAGGTGCGTGACCGGCGGGACACGCACCGGGACACGCACCGGGACACGCACCGGGACACGCACCGGGACACGCAGCCCGGGGGCACCCGCGGCCGGTCCCGCGAGCTCCGGGGCGGCGGCACCGCCGAGGACACCCCGCTCCCCGAGGGGGTCCCGGGCCGGCCCGCCCCGCTCCCCGTGCGGGTGTCTCGCTGTGTCTCTGTGTGTCTCTCTCACCGGCTCTCAGCTGCAGGCTGCCGTCCCTCCGGCTGCACCACAGCGCGCGCTCCCCGCTCTGCAGGATGTAGTGGTCCTTGGCTTGGAACAGCTCCATCCTCGCGCGGATCCCGCCGGCGGGGAAGGGCGGGGAAGGGCAGGGAAGGGCAGGGTAGGGTAGGAGGGAGCGGGGAAGGGGTGCGCGGGGCTATCGCGGGGCTGTCCCGCCGCTCCCGCCGCCGCGCGCGCGCCCGGGGCGGAAGGGGGAATGGCCGCTGCGGGGCGCGGGCACGGCGCGGGCGCGAGCGCTGCCTCCGCCGGCGCGAGCGCGGGCTCCGCTCCGGCCCCGCCCCCGCACGTGACAGCGCGCGGCCCCGCCCACGAGCACTTAAAGGGACCGCGCCGGGGGGCGGGGCTTGGGATGGGCGGGGCCGCGGGCGCGCTCCCGTCAGCCAGATCCCCTCAGCACCATCTCCTCTCAGCTCCACCTCCCCTCACCCATCTCCTCTCAGCTCCATCTCCCCTCAGCCCATTCCCCTCAACCCTATCTCCCCTCATCCCACTCCTCTCAGTTCCATCTCCCCTCAGGACCATCTCCCTTCAGCCCCATCTCCCCTCACCCATCTCCTCTCAGCTCCATCTCCCCTCATCCCATTCCCCTCAGCTCCATCTCCCCTCATCCCATTCCCCTCAGCTCCATCTCCCCTCAGCCCATTCCCCCCACCCATCTCCTCTCAGCTCCATCTCCCCTCAGCCCATTCCCCTCAGCCCCATCTCCCCTCACCCATCTCCTCTCAGTTCCATCTCCCCTCATCCCATTCCCCTCTGCCCCATCTCCCTTCATCCCACTCCCTTCAGCCCCATCTCCCCTCAGCCCACTTCTCTCAGTGCCATCTCCTCTCAGTTCCAACTCCTTTCATCCCATTCCCCTCAGCCCCATCTCCCCTCAGCCCACTCCCCTCAGCACCATCTCCCCTCAGCTTTTCCCATGGGGGAGTGACTGTAACTGCTGGTAAAAACAGGCAGGAGTTAATAAGTGGGTAACTAGCGGTGAAAGGAAATCTCTCAGGACCGCAGCACAGGACTCATTTTCATTTTAGATGTTTATACAGAAGGCAGCACCTCCTGGGCAAGTCATTCCCTCTGTCCCCTCTCCAGGCAACACTGGGACACGCACCAGCAAACTTGTCACTGCCCCAGTCCCTTCCCAGCCTTACTGATGGCTCGTCCACAGGCTCCCAGAGCTTGTTTGATTACAGGAGCTGAAGTTCCACTCGCTGTAAAAGAAATGGACACAAACAAAAAGCATCCTATCCTGCATCCAGGGAGGGGAGTGACAGAGCCGCTGTGCTGGCATCCCAGGGGTGGGCTGCTGGGGAGGCTGGCCTCTTCAACTCACAAATAAAAATTATCACCAATTATTATTAAACCACCCACAGCAGTAAAACAGCACTACTTTCAAAGCACTCTTTGAAAATGTTGTTTTCTCTCTCGTACAACATTTCTCCATTAATGTATTAGTCATATAAGTTATGCTACAAGACATGTGACTAAAGGACATTAAGAAATGAGAAATCTCCTTATAGAATGTTATCATCCAAGACCCAGAAAGGAGCTTAATTTTGGAAGGTTTGGAAGGTTCTAGACTGATCAGCCAGTCTAGAAAAACACTTAAGTGCATGCATGACTTTAAATATATAAATTAAATATGTTTGATCGGACATTAACATCTTTTAAGATGAGCATGTGCTCCAGAACTTTTCTGGTTTAAAGACTCAGAACTGAATGACTCAATGGGTCAGAACACACCCCTTTATTTTTGCTGCCATGTCTTTAGTCTGCACTATCATTCACTAAATATTTATCACTTGCAATATCATCTCTATTCTGGGTGCGTTTCCCGAGCAGTTCAGTGTTGTAGTGCAATGCATAGGGTTGCCATTAAAATGCTTGCAGGGATTTCAAGGACAGACTTTGTTTTGCCCTTGATCACGCTTTGATCAGGGCTTTCCACCCCCACCTCCCCCCATGGGTTTTCTTTTTTCATTCAGTGTGTTTTCCATAGATTCACAGCTGGGTGCTGGTTTTGTGAGCCTGTCAGCATAGGGGGAAAAAAACTGGGAAATGAATTTTGCATTTTTGCAATTCACTGTCACTAGCTAATGAACAGTAAGGAAATGCACAGGCTGACAATTAGTCAAACTGTCTCAGTATTACCTGATTGCCCCCTGCTTGATTTCAAGTTTAAATGCTGATTAATGGGAAGGGGTGGGATTTAGCAACACTTCATACTTGGAAGTACAGTTGACTGGATAGATTGGAGGAATACCCAGCTCTTCCTGAGACGAAGGATACCAGTTTTGGAAATGACACTGTAGAGAGTGTGAGGAACTTTATTTCTACGTGTCTGTGATTAAGAAGTCGTGGAATTATTTTTGGGGGTTTTTTGGCTATCATGCTCCTGGTAGCTGCCATCAAACATCAGAAAAATCTTGGGTCATCTCTTTTTGATGCTGCAGTAACTGTAGGAGCCTTTCTTCTTACCCCTCATACGCCTTGTCAGTTTTTAATCTAACTGTGCTTTGCAACTCTGATGCAAGAAGGGCTCTTTCCTCTTCTGAAATACTTTTTTGAAAAGGCTTTTGTGTGCTTTTTAGAGGGGTTATGTTATGAATTAAATAGACCCTCTGAAAAGCCTGGCTTTGAGAATGAACCCCCTCAGAGCAAAAGTATCCTGATTGGCAAAATAGCAGATAAAAGAGGTTTGTTTGGGACAGCCAGCAGTGGTCACTAGAACATTTCAGAAGTACCTGCAAGTGTACTTTCAATATTAAATACTCTGGAAAATACTTGTATGTTGTGTTTTATAACAGAAAAACACAAAATTACTGGCATGAACATTAGCTTTTGGCATGCAATTGAAAACACTCTCTAAACCAGGGAAAACAGATCAGCATAAGAATTTTTGCCTGAATTTATTTTTAGCTTTCTTTCCACTGAAATAACTGTTTCATATGGCAGCTGTAGCTATCTCTAAAGGAAGAGCTACTCTGGTATTTCCTCCTTCCCCATGAAAATCCCTTACTTCCAATGGGAATATTCCATTTCACTGGGCACTAGGAAAACAATAACCTTTTCCCTTCAAAGCCATGTGTATGTGGTTAATATCTGCAATATGGACAATGTATTGATTTCCCTCTGTGGCACTTGCTGTTAAGAGCAAATCAATGAGACCATTTTCAAAAAGTAAATGAGAATGTTTTGACTGCCTGTGATTCTTTTATTCTACATTTACAAATTGCACTTTGCAGTGCCCACGAAAAGATTCCTTACTGTGTTTTTGGTCTGCCTTCACCAGTTAAAATACTATTTATACTATACCAAGGCCATACTGAATTCACAATTTCTCCAAGGCTGTTCTTCATTGTTTTAAAATTCGCATCTAGTTTAAAACAGATTCTACTTGCTTTTCCTCCTCATGTGATCACCTGGCCATGCTGCTTTTCCAGTGATTTTTCTAAGTGTACAGAGCATAAACCTTTCTCTGTCCAGACAGAGAAAGTCCTTCCCAAAGTAGATTGTAGTTTTTGCTCCACAGCCTTATTTCAGTCTGTTCATTGATTAAGGGTTGATTAACCAGCATCCACAAAATCCACACAACAGATTCCTTTTTCCCAAATGTGGCCTTTTACACTTCTGCTTTACAAGAGACTTTCCTTTCTAAGCCAGTGTTTGATAAAGAAAATTTCAGTGGAAATGTTTCTAAAACAGGTTTCCTCACAACCACTTATATCTTTATTAGGGTGGCACAAGGTCATGATTTGGGCTGCTGTGGAAATGTTTCAAAGACAATTTTGTCCTGTTGGTGATTCTAGAGTTTTCAGCTCTGTGTCTTGGGAGTGGAGGAGAATAAATTTAATGAAAAATGGGATGGGAACCCATTTGCAACTCATTGAAGATATATTCAGTAAAATAAGATTTTAAAACAGCCTAATGGTTTTATTACCCTTTGGAAGAGCTTGCCTCACTTTCTTTACTCTTAATTTGGGTTGGTTTTTTTAAGAGCAAAATACTTCATGTTAAAACAACCCAAACTTTTGCCTTTAGAAAAGATGAAAAGTAAAATTTCTGGATCACTGGAATTTAATGTCATTTAAGAAAAAAGGGTTTTAAAAGTGGGGGTTTTTTTCTGATACCATTTAACCAATTTAAATCAATTTTGGAAGTTGCTTTACTTTCCCTGATTTTTTTTTCTGTTTTAATATTATAGAAACAAAGAACACTTATCTTTCTGATGTTATCAGGATTCATTGGATTTAGTTTTCCCTCAAGATTTTTCATACTTTCTGTTTCTATTTCTGAATATGACTACTCAGTTTCTTAGTATTACAGCAATTAGGTAGTAAAATAGCAAAAATAGCAAAATATCTGTGTTCCATTCTTTGCATAAGTAACTTCCTGTGCTGTGAATGCAGCTGAGACCAAGCATCAAATAGGGCCTGAAGAACAGCAAGAGTTGCCAAGTTCTGAAGTGTTATACTTTCCTTTTTGTCACTTTTCACTGGTTTGGGCTGTCAGAGGAGAAGGAAATGTATTAGTTATTCAGTGCAAAAATCTGTCAGTTTTAAGTGATGGAAATAAATGCAGGAAAATTTTTTTTTTTACAAAAACCCACTTTCTTCTTGCTCCACATTCTCCTGGCACTCATTATTGTATACAATATTTATGAATTGTTAGGCATGGTTTACATTAGTGCCATGCCTGGGAACTCTGGTCATGGATAAGGACCCCCAGTGTGCCAGGTACTGTGCAAAGCCAGAGCACTTCAGGTCCCAGAGATTTAGAACCAGCACAAAAGTCAAAGTCAATAACAGAATGAGATGTTTAAGGGATGGAACATAAAACAACAAGATGTTATTGATCAGCTTGGAAGCCAGTGGTCTCAGGATTCCAGAGTTTAAGCATTACCATGTTGTGATGGAAAACATACTTTAGTACTCCATTCAATTAATAAAGCTTTAATACAAATTGTTTATATTGACCACTCTGGTTGACTTCATCCTGTATATTGTGACTGTGTTTTTAAAATAGCACAGCTACCTGTACAGCTGCAGCAAAAGCCTATGCAATAAATTAACCTGGGGTCAAATCCTCCTTTCCTTACCCCAGAAATTGTTCCAGAAGGAACTTTTCAGAGTAAGGTTTGACATGCGGTGACATTCAGCAACAATACTGCTAAAACCAGCTTAAATAATCCTTTCCTCCTCCCCAGCTGTGTGTTTCTATTCCTGTACCAGGCCAGCACTGGATAGCCACAAGCACTTGTGCAGCATATTGTGAACTGAATTTGCAGATGCAGAATAACCTACTAAAACACTGTTTATGAAACTGGACTTCAGATCACAGTAACTGGAGCAACAGTGCACTTACCTGGTCCTTACTGAACAGAAGGAGCTGATTTCTTAGGGTCAGGACTTATTTTAGTGCCACTGACTCTGAGTTGCCAAGCAGAATCTGATCATGTCTATGTTACAAGTACACTAAAGCCAAGCTTGCCTACACTAGGAAGCTGTGCTGTAGAGTAGGAAAGGACTCGGAGAAGTAAACAGCTGGCATTGAGGATCCAGCTTCTGAACTATCCACATTCCAGGGGCTTTATTTAAGATTAGATCTAGTTCTGTCCTACAGACCCCTTAGCAACTGGAGCACACCACAGGCAGTCCTGCAGTGTTTCAATTGTAAGGAATCCAATTCATGTCATGCTTGAAGCAGCAGAGCCCCGTGGTGACACTCAGAGGTTGCCATCCAAAGGAGCTTGTCCAGTGGCCGTCACCTTCCCAAAAGAGCTGGAACAGTAACTGATCTTCTGTAGCCTTGCTGTATCTCACCCAGATTCACCAACACAGAGCTGGTGGCTGAGGAGGTGCTTGCTTTTAACACTGGCAGTGAAGTTATTGTGTCAGACAGTTATTCAGTCAGACAGAGCCATAACAAAACCTCAGTGACACACCTACCCAAGGGTCTCTAGCAGAACTCATGTCTGCAGAACCTCAGCCTCCCTGTAACACCACATTTACACTGCATACACACCTCAGTACTTCAGAGAGGAGTAGGATGTGTGACATTTGAAGAGTGACACTGAACCCTTCCCTCCCCAGAGCAGAATCTCTAGCTGCTAGGCAATAATTTAGGTCAAAAAGCACTTATCAGCTTTTCCTTCATCTGTGGCATGTGGATAAAAAAGTCCTGTATAGATTTTGCAATCCTCAAGCTCTTGATGCTCAGTTAAGTACTCCACCGGTAATTAGAATTCTTGTGACTCTCGAAGGGCTAAACCAGAAGATTAAAAGAACTTTATTTTCCTGTGAGATTATGTGTTCTATACTTGAGTACTGGAATAGATGATCATTGCTATATGCAGGCTAAAAGTGTTTATTGCTGGCTTTGCATTTCTTGGGCAATGATATGTAGGTCATTTTAAAACCTAGGGAAGGAAGATGGATATGAAACTGAAGAGGACTGAAAATCTGAGTCCTTGTCCTTGAATACATAACAAGGTCTCTGTACCTCCCTTTTACATAAAGGTAGCATTTGTTCCCTACTGTGCAGAAGTGTTAGAACCTGACTACATTGACAAGTGTAAAATGTTTTAAACTGCCATGGTGAGAGATTACATTCATATTTATATGCAGATAAATGAAAGCAAGCTCTATCTTTTCTGTAAATAATAATAAACCGAAATTTGTGTACAATCATACCTCAGACAAATCAGGGAAGTTCTGTACTGTTTTGGAGTCAGGTTTTACATTTGTGGAGGGAAATGCCAGTGAGAAGCAAGATTGGAGTGGATCAAGGTGGAATCAGAGCTGTGTGTAACACCTGGCAACCTACCTTCACTTTGACATTTTAATTATGTTACAACATCTATCTATTTATCTATCTGTCTGTCTATTTGAACCATTTAATACTGCATTTCTAACACAGTTTTATACCCTAGCTGCATGACTATGTGTGATAAATCAGAGAGCTATAACACTATGACAGCTATGAGTTATGCAGCTACATGGATGACTCAGCTTTGCCAGATGTTTCTGAGAAAAGGTCGAAGCCATTCCTAAAAAAAAATTTAAAATATCCTAGAAACTACATATAAATAGTCCATTACCTCTTTGGGGGAAGGCACAGGAAGAATTGCAAGGCACCATTTCATTTATGAAGGTAACCTCAGCCTACCATATACACCATTACAGCATATAGGATGTAGGAGGAAAGAGATCTATTTCTGAGTAATTATTGAAGGCAAAAATGACAAGCATGTGTTGTTGCAGGAGATTACAGTGTCATCAGTCCAGTAGGAACCAGGTGAAGGTGTGATAACCTTGGAGAAGTGAGTACAGATCTTTGAAAACTAACAGAGGATGAGCAAATCCTCAGAAAGTAGGAAAAGTATTTGGGCTTCTGATTTACTATTGTTTTCTAATGTCTGTGAAACCACTGGAAGGTTATGGCTTTATACATATTGAGGAATCTGTGCCACCATCCTGACCCTCACAAAGGCAAAGAAGGAAGGCTCACAGAATTTTAGGTCAGTCAGACCCTTTTCTTAAATGAAAAAAAAAGAAAGAATAGAAAAAATACTTGAAGTGTGTACTTTCAAGTATGAGCAAGTGTTAAGAAGCAGTTAACACAAAAAATGTGAGATTGAATCAACATCCTTTCTTTTTTATGAAATCCTGGGCAATAGTGTGCATTTGCACTCAATATGACCTTTGATCCTGTTCCTTGTGATTTTCCCCTAACTACCTAAGGAAATACGACCCAGTTATGACACCTCCACAGTCCCAATAATTGGGAATTTTCTCCTGTAGAGTGGTTACTAATGGTTAGTGCACGAGTTTGATAATATCCTGTATCTTTACAATGGCCCAATAATGGAATAACAAGGGTACACAGTAAATTTATCAGGTTGGAAGGGTCAGAAAGCCCACTGGGTATTGGGATTCCACTATGAGATTATTGTGGCAAGGTGAACAAATTACCTGAAACAAATGATGTATCTGGCAAGAGAAAAATATCCAAGAGCAATAATCATCTGTAGGAATACAAACACAGGCACAGCTGGTTAACCAGGAGTTCTGGGGTAATCCTAGATCATAAATTGATCCAGAAATCAGTAACAAAAAGGTTAAAAAAACCCCAGTGTACAGTGAATGAACAGGAGCATTGTACATAAGACCTGTGCTGTAATCCTTTTACTGTGCTGTGAGTCAGACCTCACTGGGGACACTGTACTCAGTCTGATACAATCATTTCAAGAGTTATCAACAGAAAACAGGCCAAAGGAAAGCAAGGGTAATCTGAATTTTGGAAGCTGTGATATGTGATTTGAAGAATTAGGATTCTTTATACTAGTTTCTCATGGGAAACAGGAACAGTCTTGAAATACGTAAGAATTTCTGGGAAGAGGACAAGAATAACTGGTTTCTTTGTCCACTGTCATTGAATCATAGAATGGTGGAGGTTGAAAGGTGGTTCACTCCCTCTGCTCACAGTGGGATCAGAGAGAAAAGGCTGCCCAAGTTCATGCCCAGTGGGGTTTGAGTATCTCCAAACACTGTGATTCCACAGCTGCTCTGGGCAACCTGCACCAGTGTTTGACCACCTTCACCCTGAAAAAAAAAATCTTAACTTTAAATGTAATTTCCTGTATTTCAGTTTGTGCCCATTTCCTCTTATTCTTTCACTGGATACTCCTGAGAAAAGTCTGGCCCCATCCTCTTTTGTTCCTCCCATCGGGTATTTACACACATTGAAAAGATCCTCCCTGAGTCTTTTTGAGGCTGAACAATCCCAGGTCTTATCCCAGAAAATACAAGCAGTAGTGAGCATAACCACAGCAAGAATGAGTTAGAAACAAAGCCTTTGGATAAATAAGGGAATAGACTGCTTAGTGACATCAGCTGGGCAACATCCACCACTAGTGTTTAAGAACAGGTTAGGCAGGAACGAGGGAATGTGATCTCTTCCTAACCTCAACCTAGGATGACTTGTTGCAATCTTATTTTCTTGAATCTCAGTCTGGTTGCCCATCTCCACATTTCCTGGACCTTCTTTCCATCCATCCTCCACTCTGTCTTTCTTGTCTCCTGCATGTACCTCTCAAGGAGCAGCAGAAGCTTCTGCCAAGGTGTAGCAACACCACAGAGCTGCCAATGCTTGCCAGCTACAAGGAATTGCAGCACTCGTCCTACTTAACCCTCTCTGCTTTCTGTGCCACTTCCAGTTGGGTTCTGAGTCTCCACAATGACAGTCTGAGTGTCATGTCCTGCGTGCAGCTCTTGTGGGGTTATTTGATTTGAACCTGCCTCATTACAAATAATGTGCCAATTGGACTTAAGAATCCAGACCCACTTGAGAAATGCTAGGATTTTCACATTTTAGGCCAGTGGATTCTAGCACTTCCTTAAGGCTGTAGATGCTTCATCAGAAAGTTTGGGCCACAGCCTCCCAGTTTATTGTTTCAATGAAGAAAAGAAAGCCTCCTTCATAAGGGTTTTTTGCCATTTAGCAATGCTTTTTTACTAGGTAGTTGTTGTAAGCAATGTAAGGAAAAAGTTTGACACAGAGAACAGCCAAAAAAGAGAAGAAAGGCTGACATTCCATTTTCCCCCCTCAGCCATCCTTACCTCTTCACAGAATCAGCAGCACTGAATGTGCCAAAAAAAAAAAATGCCCCAAAAAACGAGAAAACAAATGAGCAAGTCCCCAAATAACTTTCCTGCTCAACTAAAAGAGTTTGAAATGAGGTTTCTGAGACCAACTGGTGCATTACACATGCAATTGTTCTGTTTGGCTGATTTGATTTGCCTCAAGCTGGAATGTTAATTACAGAGAAAAAGATAAACACAGACTCTAGTTAAATTTGCTAACAATCTTAAAAATAGATGCTACTACCCTACTCTTAATCAAACACAGCATCCAAAGGCAAAGGCAATTTAACACTAACAAAATCAACTCTGGTCACGGATTTGATTCTCAGTTGGAGTATGTAATTTGAAGTATCAGTTTTGTTTAATGTATTTGGATTCAGTTTATAAAAGATAAAATAAAAAATACATCCTTCCACGGCTATATAATGCTTAGGGGAAAAAGATTTGGGAAGCAGTGGGAATCAACACCTTTATGTTATACTACTGACACTGCAATTAATTTACTGTGCTGCTTGTAAACTGAAATAATAGGCATGTGATCTATACCCACATATTTTATGACTGGAAACACTTTGGAATCACGTAATTAAAATACTTCCTAAGTACACGGAGGAGCGTGCAAAGTTCCCTGAGATGGAAATCAGGCGAAAAATAATCCCTAACAATTGTGATAGCAGGATTAATTTGTGTGGGCAGTACTCCATTATGCAAAGACCAGTTTTTGCTCTCTGCTTTACGTATTCTCTTCACACAGTCCAGTTTGCTCAAGAGAAGGCTGCATCAGCTATCATTCCAAAAAGATTGGAGCAATCCTTAGAGTCAGGCGGTTGTGGCTCCTTGGTAGCTTTTGTTGGTGCCATGAGTCACTTTGAATGAATGTGCAACCACTGCATCTCAGGGGAAAAGTGGTTTCTATGAATTCTGACCTGGGCTGGCTTGGACAAACAGCTCCCTTGACAAAAGAGGGGTTTACCGAATAATTCACTGTGATATTAACATCTTGTTCCTTTAAGATGGGGCTTTCACAAATTGGAGTGTAGATGGATCAAAAAGGACATCTGGACATCTTCAGTCCAACCTTCCACTTCAAGTGGCACTTTGCTAAACAGCAGGGCTGAAATTTTGTATTTTCCTGGTGCTCAGAAACCTCACATAGAGCTTCCCAGGGCTATAGGAGGAAAAATCACTGATTTAGGTAATGTTGGCCCTACCTAAATCCCGCTCGTATTTTGCAGTTCGGAGGTTTGCAGGGTTTCAGCCATCCTTTGCTACACTCACAAGAACCCCCGCACTGAGCTGGAAATGACGCTTCTGTGCCACCAGACCAATATGACATCACCCGCTCTGGCCAGAAGTGCCAGGCAGTGAGAGTCGCTGCTGTCTGTGCTGCTCTCGGCTGGGATTTTCCCATTCCCTATCCATGTTTTCCCATTCCTTATCCATGTTTTCCCATTCCCTATCCATGTTTTCCCACAGACCCGCAGCGTTCGGCGCCATCCGCGGGGCGCTGCTGCCCTCTGCTGGCCGCCAGCCCTCCTACGTCACCGGGCCGTGACGTCACACCGGGAGCTGCGGAGCGGCTGTGCCCGGGATGAGCCATCGGGCCCGGGATGAGCCGTCGGGCCCGGGATGAGCCATCGGGCCCGGGATGAACCATCGGGCCCGGGATGAGCCATCGGGCCCGGGATGAGCCATCGGGCCCGGTCTGGCGCCTGTGTCAGCTGGCCCTGAGAAAGGCGACTTTGTCACTGTATAAAATGACCCAGTGTGTGCCGGGTTTAACAATTACGCTGCAATTGCCCGTTTTCTTGAGGTACCTGTGCAGAATCATCGAATCATCGAGGCTGGAAGAGACCTTTAAGATCAAGTCCAACTGTCAACCCAGCACTAGCCCTAAATCACTAAAGTACTAAACCACATCACCCAGCTCCTCTTGAACCCCTCCAGGGTTGCCCCACCACCTCCCTGAGCAACATATTCCAATGCCTGAGCACCCTGACAGTGAAAATGTTTCTGATATCTAATCTGAATCTCCTCTGTCTCAAAACCTGTCTGATTAATACTAAATTGCCATTCACTGGCACTGTGAGTTCTTCCACTGGGTGGGTTTTGCCTTTATCAGAGCATTATTTAGTAAATCAAGTTAGTTAGGAAAAAGTTTCTGAGCTCAAGCCAAAGTAACTTCAGGGGCTCAGATTTTAATTTGGACAAACTCTCAGAGCTCGGTTTTGCCAAGATGTGCCTTCTGCACATGACCTGCTTGAGTCACACTTGAAATGTCCATTTGAACTGATACAAAAATCAAGTCTTCTTCCTCTGTCATTTACATAAATGTCCTCAGGTTCTTTAGGCAGCAAAGAGATTGATGGATTAGGATTGTGGAGTGGAGTTCTACAAAACCCAGTTTGGAAGCCAAATCTCAAAAGTGCTCTGGCTGTTAAAATACTGGATGTGTCAATGTTTGTTACAACTAGAACATCAGGAACCCAAGGCCTCCAACACCCTGCAAACCTGCATTAACCTGACACCTTTTACAAGCTTTGAAAAGAAATCACAGGAATGCAGGCGCATCCCAGAGCATCCTGCCAACGTGTTTACTCACTGCTGGGATGAGCACACCCAAGATGAGAAAGTTCTCTTAACCATGACAGGAAACCATTTTCCGTCACAGTCCTTTGGGTGTTTTACAAACACCGCAGGAGGAAGCTCTGCCTTCGGGACCTGCCAAGGACACCGAGGGCACCTGATGGTGGTGCAGGGGACAGCAGTGCCCGGCTGTGACTCCTCCTGCCAGGGCACTGTGGGAGCAACACACGGCTGGATTAAGTGACAGGAGCAGCGTCAGGGGAGGTGAGACACCTCCTGCCCTGGTTAGAATCATCATAGAATCATAGAATCATAGAATAGATTGGGTTGGAAAAGACCTCCAAGATCATCAAGTCCAACCTCTGATCCAACTCCAATTCCTATATCATGGCACTAAGGGCCACGTCCAATCTCTTTTTAAAAACCTCCAGGGATGGTGAATCCACCACCTCTCTGGGTAGGCTGTTCCAATGCCTGATAACCCTCTCTGTAAAGAATTTCTTCCTAACATCTAACCTAAACCTCCCCTGGCAGAGCTTAAGCCCATGTCCCCTTGTCCTATTGTTGGTTGCCTGGGAGAAGAGACCAACCCCCACCTGGCTATAACCTCCCTTCAGGTAGCTGAAGAGAGTTCTCTTGTCCTGTAACGTGCCTTGGACTGTGTTTGCCTGTGCTGTGCCACAACTGCCTTAGCACTGCAAGCACCTCAGCAGGGATGTGTGGACACAGGGGAGCTGCTGTGGTCACACTATATAACTCAGAGGCAGAGGTGGAACTTGACCCAGTGATGCAGAGAGCCAGTTCCTCAGCTCTATCAAATACACATCCTGTAATTGCACAGCCATATATTGTTTCTTAGTGTAGTCAAGCACAAACTATTTAAGGCAGGGATTCCCTATGCATGTAATTGTATGTTATATAATAAGAGTTATGTGTCTAATTGTTACTGGGAAAAAAAGAAGTATAAGAATAATAATTGCTATGATTCCTGCCTTCCCTAGTAGTGCCTGTTTTCCTTGAAGTAATCAGGGACTTGTTGCTAGGTAGTTAATATTAAAGGTACCTTAAATATTTTAATGTGTCTATGCCAGCTGTTTCTAGGCAGCAATATTTGTTTATGATATTGTTATCCAACCCTACTTATATCCTTTATTCAGTGTAATCTAATATATCCATACAGTTACACTGCAGTCCTGATACTTCTTTATTCACAGAGTAGCATGCTGAAGTAACTACTGTTAAGAATTATGGAATACCTCTAACGTACAAGATTTAATCTTAGTCAAGATGCACTAGTAGCTACCAGTTCAAATATTTGAAACTGAATTAAATACTTAAATAACACAATTTGAAATTTGGTAGTGCTTCTGTGCACTTTCAGCATCAGCAGATGCTTACAGAATTCCGAAGTTTTAAAGTAAATTATATGATTTCAGTCAAATGCCTGATTAAGGGTACGTGTCATCATTTCATCAGTCCTTTGGAAGTAAAAATTGCTGTATTTTTGGCCACTGGACAACATTGCTCTAGGTTTTCCTTGGTTTAATCTCATTTCCATTAAAAAAAAAATAGAAAAACTCGCCTGGTTTAAAAATTATGGCTCTTACTAACAGATTGTACACTCTGAGCTGTGCACTTGGAGAGGTGAGAGACTGCTGATGACTCCTGTTCTTTGCCACAGATCTATATGGGCTGTGGAAAACACATTATCTGCCTGCCAGCCCTGTGGGAATTGCGTGAGGGAATTATTCCAGACACTGCTCATTTCTGCAAATGGAAGGAGCTGAGCTTTCCTGACAAGACAGGAGTGGATGGGAACTCAAAGTTCACCAAATGATGAAAAGCAATAAATCAGGGCTTCAAGTAATTCATGCAGATGATTTTGCAAATCTCTGTTCACTGTCAGGGGCTGCAGAAACACAGCAAAGCCAAGCTCAGATCCACACCCCTTTGTTGCTAAATTCGGTGCATTTCTTTTAGTGTTTCAAAACTCAGATAACCTGAGTTTTGAAAAATAATAAAATTATTTTTTAAAATAATTTTCTATTTGTGAAGGCAGCTGAACAGCCCTGCAGACAGATCACGGTACACCAAGTATATATAATAGAAGCAGTAATACCTCACAGTTTGTTACAGTTTCTTGCCTGCTCACCTCATTCCTAGAATAGGTACCATATTTCTTTCGGAGAAGCTAATTATTTTCATCTCTATCTCCAGCCTTTTTATCAAGACTTCCAACAATGTTATCCAGTAGTGCAAACTCTACTCTGTATTTGTTGTGAACACGTCAGAGAACATTGCACATTCCTTGAATAGATGTCAAATGTAAAGAAGTGGAGATAGAGAGCCCCATATTCCATGTTTAATTCTGACACATGAAGTGTGTCTCCACAGCTCAGCGCCCTTTGGAACTGTTTCCTGAAACACATGTGTCAAATGCACTTTTCTCCTTATAATCTGAAATGTAACATTAAATCCTCCACTTCTGCTTGCCCTGCAGTTTGCTGGGGCAAGGACATATGGAAACGAAAGCTGGGCCTGTTCCTTTGGTGTAGATCTCCAGCTTCTGGAGACAGCAGTGGAAATTCCAGTGGAAATTCCAGCAGGAAACAACTGAACTAGCCTCTTTGTTTTTAAAAATTGCTTATTTATAAATTCTGGAAAGGTATTTGACTGAGAATTGCTATGTTCCCCTGCTTTGTAACCAACTTCTTGCCCATCTTAAAATAACTCCTGCCTTGGGTGGCAGGGGCTGGCATAAAATTACATTGGTCTCTAGTGTTACACAGCGTGGTTCCTGGTGTGGAGACTGCTACCACACACAATACTGAGCTTGGAAACCCAAATTATGCAACACAAAGGCTAATGGACCTCAGTGTCACCCATTTATCTTTAAACAAATGCTTTACCTTAAGTGAAAACTAACACACTTGTTCATTTGGCTCTCCTGTACCATTAGAATGCTTCTAGCCACAAAAACAGGTGAAAGAGCCAATGAAATCATTGTATCTATTGCTAAAATGATTGTGCTCATATGTCATTAATGACAATATTATATATATATCTCCAGAGAAATTTGGGGGTTGAGTTTTAATATTTTATGGTAAGGCTTCAGGAAATGGTATTTTGCATGGTTAACTTCTGGCTTCAATCTGTATTTTGCAGCAAGCACTGAGCTCAGATTAGTTATTTCTAAAGGCATCCTTTACCCCTGTGGCCCATAAGGGCTGGATTTGTTTCTGTCAGAACAATTGTGGTACTGATAGCTTTTCAAACAAACCTGGAGATTTATATAATATTAAACATTCACAGCATTTAAATTCCTTTGCTGGTACACCTGCATTTTATTTCTTGGATGCAACAGGACCAAAAGCATGGACATTATTGCCCATAACTAGTCCTTTGGTCTAAGCCCATATTGCCCTCATGTTTCTGTCTTATTTAAGTCCAGGATGCAGTAGTGCCTTCTATATTTAAAAAGATCAACACATGCACATCTAAGGAGGGAGACTGAAACCCCAGCAAATTAAAACCTTGTCACAAACATACCTTGATGGAGATTTGTCCTCTTCAGCAGCTATGTGCCAGCCACCAGAAGCTTTTTTTTATTATTATTATTTCAACTACCAGTTTAAGATGTTCCATGATATATCCTTCCTGAGGATCCTGAGCTTTCCCAGGATACAAGGGCTTTCCTAGGCTGCCTTACCTTGCTACTGGAGTGCAGGGGCATGACCTGCCTGTGGTGGTTTGGGCTAGGCCTTCCATGACACTGCCTCTACACACTGTTCTGCTGCTTTCCTGCCCTCTGGGTGGAGTTTGATTTGTTCTCCTTTCCTTCCCCAGCTTGTCTGCAAATACAGCTGGGCCAACAGAAAGCTGGAAGTAAAACATATTCCACATAAAGAGCTTGTACCTCCCCTTGGAAAAAGGGAGGAATCAGACACCAGAGTGCACAGTTGTCTCAGCATGCTCTGGGGGGCAATGTAACTTCTGCTGCCCCTTCCTCAGGGCAGGGCATGATTTGGCTGTGTGTAAATAAATAGTCAAAATGCTATATTTATAGGAAACACAATGCCTTGCTGCTGGGAGAGTTTAAATATAGAGAACAGGCCACTAGTGGCATTTAAAATATCACAAGCTGGACAAGATAGTGCACTCAGAAAATAGCCTAAGCTTTCACTATGCTTCCGTGTACAGGCTTTTCATACCCCTCTTGCTACTTGTAAATGAGCTGAAACAGTGCCTCTCACTGACTTGGGGATTGTTTGCCTCTTGAATAAATTAAGTGCTTGACATTTAGTCGATTTTTTTGAAATGGCTACTGCAATTGCACCTTGTATTTGAGCATCTTGCTTTCAGCAGTACATTTGCTTTTTGCTGCACACAGCTGTATGTGAAAAGTAATGTGATGGAACAGAACTCTTGTCGAGAGCATTAAAACCCTAAGTACTTTCTACCTGAGTTTCAAAGCCAAGCTACCCAGGCTCAAGCCACAGACCAGCCAGCACCACACTGCAGAAATGCAAGTTAATGAAGAACCTTCCTCCTGTCCTCTGCCAGCTCCCCCCAGCATTGGTACCAACGCCAGGAAGCAAACAGGCTCTGCAAGGAATAGGTCAGGAGCTTACAGGGAATGGGTGGGAATCTTCAGCTGCTTCCTCCTTGGCTACTCCCTCCTCCCAGCCCTTATGCAGAATTCATAGCTATGCTGATGTGTCAAGACATATATGCTGGACTGGGCACAGTTTAGTCTTGAGCAACAGAGGAAACAAAGAGAGACTATGACTCAGAGCAGCAGTCTCCCAGCCCAGCAGCTCCAGGGCAGCCAAATGTACTTTCCCTTATTAGGCCAGATCATGAAACCTCACTCATTTTGAGTTGTACCTAATTCTGCAGGAGTATCACTGACTTTAATGACCAACTTTTAAAGTGCCACTTGGCAGAGTGTAGCTCTACCTCCAGCTTTGCTTCTTAAAAAGAACCCCATCAGTTGTAATTACATTTGACTCCACCTACTCTGACTAACATGGAATAGTATAACGTGAATCAGGCTCCATTAGCAGCAGATGACATGTTTAAAAAGCTAGCACCTGTTTAACTTCCTGTAAATAGTACATTTTTAAGACTATAACCTTAATTTGTACAGTGCCACCTCAGCTAATGAGGTGGTTTTAATCTGGATTGTTTTAGTGGACTACTAAACAAAACCATACAGAGACAGGGTCTCGTGCCTCCCAGACCTCCCTTAGAGCTCAGTTCTAAAAACCCAGAGCT